TCCACTACCATCCTGGAACCATACAAATCTCATGCTAAATGTGGGGCCACAGTATTCCTACAAGGGTTCCAGATTAAATCTCGGATTTCTGCTGCTGTAGCTGGAACAGACTATCGGTTAGTGATATTGACAAGCATTGCTGTTTTGTTAAATCAGTTTACCTTAGCTTTAACCATGAAAGTAAGTAGTGTTATGGCGAAGGATTGAAAGTAACAGATATGATAGGGTTAGTTTGAAGAAATAACTGTTAATCCTCTTCATCACAAGTATCACTTTTTTCTTTTGCAGTTTGGAATTAGAAAGTTTTGTGAAAAAACAACAAGGAGTCCGGTGGCACTCCTTGTTTTTGTTGGGTTTTTTGTTGTTTTTGTGGATACAGACTAACACAGCTGCCCCCTGATACTTGACACCATGTAAAGTTTTGTGAAATACCCTCAGTGCATACTGAAAGCTGTAGTCCAGTAAAAAGCAGCCCCATCACTGGGCAGACCTCCAGATAGATTACCATGGCATACCACATAATCTCCCTAAAAAGATGGAGGGCATGTGGGGTTGCCAAAGTGGGACCTGGGCATCAAATAGAGGGTTCGCTACCCTGGGAAAGTGGCACGATGACCTGTGGCTGGACCCAGTTCAAAATCCCTCCTGCAAACAACAGGAGATCCTTTTTGGCATAGGAGAAAAACCCTCTTTTGGGGAAAAAGGCCTGGTTATTTATTTTAGAGCACCAACCCAGAGTAAAAATGTCTTCATAAAGGCGCTCAGATCCTCAGTTTACCTATTGAAAACAAGAGGTTTACAATACAAAGTAAGCAAACTAAAGTGCATACGGTTATAGCCCACAAAGTTGGGGGATGCTCAAGAAGTGAAAAGTAATTTTCTTTTGGCAGTCAATTTCCTAGGATACTGTCCTCTGTATAAGTGCTCTTTGAAAATTAGAGGCATCTGTCCTGCATTAGTCCCTTGAGTTCACTCAAACAAGGGAAAAATCAGCACCTGAAAGGCAGAGGACTGTATGGCCAGATTCTATCAAATCAGCAAAGGAGTGGTGTCCTTCTTAGTATGAAGCTAGCATAAGTGAGAGAGGATCCATAACTAGGGGCTGGTCTACACCCAGCCGCTAGTTCGGCGGCTGGGGATCGAAGTTCCGGGTTCGACTTATCGCGTCTGGTCTGGACGCGATAAGTCGAACCAGGAAGTGCTCGCCGTCGACTGCGGTACTGCCAGCTCAGCGAGAGGAGTACCGCGGAGTCGACAGGGAGCCTGCCTGCCGCGTGTGGACTGCGTCTGAATCGCGGTAAGTTCAAACTAAGGTATGTCGAATTCAGCTACGTTATTAACGTAGCTGAATTTGCGTACCTTAGTTCGAATTGGGGGGTTAGTGTAGACCAGGCCTTGGACAAAGAAATTTCCTAAAGCATAATATGTGAGGGGATACCACAACATATCAGATTGCTAGATGCTCATTCTCAGTTGGGGGATGCTCATTTCTTGGAGAAGACTCAGATATTATGTGGGTATTCATAATCCTGAATGTTCTGGGACAGGGTGAATCCAAGGCATCAGATTGGAGAATGAATATTTGAGTGAAGTCAGGGAAATGAAGTACAGAATTCTGGCACAGGATCTCTTTTATTGTGGAAAAGACAGTGTCATGTTGTATGGTTCACTGGGAAGTTTGGAGCCCCCTGTGACTGGTGAGTTCTACTCAAAGAGAAGCGAGGGTGGCAAAGTAATGAAACACACGTAACAGTTTTCCTGTCTTAAAATGGACCATGCTTGCTTTTTGTATTGAGAACAGCAGCTTTCTTTAGTGCCTCATTTATCCAGGAGGAGTTGGGGTTGTGTGAAGAAATACTTCCTTTTGTCCGTTTTAAACCTGCTGCCTATTAATTACATTTGGTGACCCCTAGTTCCTGTGTTATGAGAAGGAGTAAATAACACTTCCTTATTTACTTTCTCCACATGTCATGATTTTATAGACCTCTGTTCTATCCCCCCTTAGTCGTTTTTTTTCCAAGCTGAAAAAATCCCAGTCTTATTAATCTCTCTTCATATGGAAGCTGTTCCATACCCCTGATCATTTTTGTTGCCCTTTTCTGTACCTTTTCCAATTCCAATACATCATTTTTGAGATGGGGCGACCACATCTGCATGCAGTATTAAAGATGTGGATGTACCATGGGTTTATATAGCGGCAATATGATAATTTCTGTCTTATTATCTATACCTTTCTTAATGATTCCCAACATTGTTAGCTTTTCTGACTGCCGCTGCAGACTGAGTGGATGTTTTCAGAGAACTATCCACAGTGACTGTAAGATCTCTTTCTTGAGTGGTAACAACTAATTTAGATCCCACCATTTTGTATGTATAGTTGGGATTATGTTTTCCAATGTGCATTACTTTGCATTTATCAACATTGAATTTCATGTGCTATTTTGTTGCCCAGTCAACCAGTTTTGTGAGGTCTCTTTGTAACTCTTTCCAGTCTGCTTTGGACTTAACTATCTTGAGTAGTTTTGTATCATCAGCAAATTTTGCCTCCCAACTGTTTACCCCTTTTTCCAGATCATTTATGAATATGTTGAACAGTACTGGTCCCAGTACAGACCTTTGAGTGACACCACTATTTATGTCTCTCAATTCTGAAAACTGACCATTTATTCCTACCCTTTGGTTCCTATCTTAACCAGTTACTGATCCATGAGAGGACCTTCCCTCGTATCCCATGACAGCTTATTTTGCTTAAGAGCCTTTTGTAAGGGATCTTGTCAAAGGCTTTCTGAAAATCTAAGCACACTATATCCACTGGATCTCCTTTGTCCGCATGCTTATTGATCCTCAAAGAATTCTAGTAGATTGGTGAGGCATGATTTCCCC